TTGTGTTTTTTTTAACACTCACCTCCTGTTTTCTTGCAGCACCCCTGGCCCAATATATTTTTATTATTCATTTTATTTCCATTTTTATTTTAGTAAATATATTTTCCTTAATATTAAAAAATCATAAAAAATATAAAAATAATAGATTTATATTTTAGCTTTTTTTATTTTTATTTTTCTCACAAAAAAATATTTTATTTATTTATATATTATCTATTTTATTAAATAAATTTGTAAATTAAATTATAACTAGTCTAATATTTATTTTTTTTCTTTACACCTATTACATATTTTATTTTAATATGGAAAGGACCAAAATATCACATAATGCCATGTATTATTTTCAAGACCAAAAAATACAAAAAATACTTACCTTTTTCTTAAAGAAATGTATTTTATTTTAAACAAATAGAATTAGGGTTTATTCAAAAAAAATTTCTAAAAAAAATAATTTCTTTTCTTAATTGATTTAAGATTAATCTTGATCATTTTATTAGGTTTAGGTTAAAACCCTTTTTCACATAAAAAAATCAAACAAAAATCTTCTTTACATACCTTTGCATATTTAATTCATTTTTGTATACTATTTATTCCAATATTTGTACATATTCAATTTGGTTGTAATAACTTAATTAGGTTTATATTATTGCAAATCCCCATTCATAAATTGTATTCCCCCCTCCCACAAATGTTGTAATAGCGTAGGACATTTAAATTTCACAATTTATCGCTTTTATATAACATGCTAATAATTAGGGTTTGTATGGCAAGATAAAATCAACCAAATAGAAAACCCTAATCCAAGACAAAATAAAACATGAAAATGACACACTTGCACATAAAACACCCCTAGGGTTATCCCACCTGGTTACCTTATACAAAATGGCCATATTACGCATGTAAGGTGTCTTAGCAAAAAACAAACAAACACAAGATCATAGTCCCTCGATGACGCTATTCAAAGTTGCCTTAAAAAATGATCTTAGTCCCTCAAAAATGCTAAGATACCTTGCAACATTGCTAATCGTGGCTATACGATGACCCACGCCCGTCCCGTTTACATCCAAAGATAAGGTTACTTACCAAATCAATGGTAAAACAATAATATCAAAGGAAAAGAAAATGTACAAGAAAGACATTTGAGTAGGTAGATTACTTTTAGTTACTTGCTCCATTTCAAAACAAATATCCTTGCTATTTTTTAAAAAAAACAAACACATACACAAACATCTTACAAAACTTGAAAACATTTTCAAAAAGATCAACATCTTTGTATACATTCTTACGAACGAGAATCATTACAAAGATTGTCTAAACAATGGCTTCTTTACAAAATACTTTCAAAACCACACAAAGCACAATTTCAAATAAAAGCAAGTGATCTAGCAAGTAACTAAGAGCCCATAGAAAACCATGGATGAAAAGGGTGCTAATACCTTCCCTTTTCATAATCTACCCCCCGAACTCAAGAAACAATCTCAAAGGTCTTTCCTGTGCTTTTTCACCTTTCCTTTTGGATAAAAGAAAAGTCGGTGGCGACTCTTGCTAACCGCAACATTTGCGATCAAACGCAAAACAATCAATGTGTCAAACCTGTCAAAACATTTGCAACTCTTCAATTTCTTCATTGTAAAGACTTTCTTGTAACACAATCCATGTGTCAAACCTGTCCAACAATTAACACAAAAAGATATCACAGAAAACATAGTTGCTAACATGTGAGTATCATGATTCCATTTCTGTTGAACTCTGCTGCTCTTAATGATGTCCATATTCAGAAAGATCCCCGAAGTAAACTCGGGCACAAAACTCATAAAAACTCAATATTCATTTACGATCAATCAATAGAACATATAAGAGTAACTTATCTTTCGATGGCGGTGACGACACTGTGATTCATGCGATATCAAGTCGGAGACTTTGTTGACGACACCAAATTGAACAATGTCACAAGCCTACATAAAGAGCAGAAGGTATAAACAAATCGCTCATACACCGCAGTAAAAATAAGACGAGACTACCAATAAGAAGCAACAAATATACATCGCAACATTTTCAATTAATCTTGATAACTGTTGATATGGAAAATAGAAGTGTCATTTCAATAAAAAATGGAAATTAAGTTTTTACCGAGCCACTGAATTGCAGCTGAGCCATTGAAGCTTATTCGCATCAATAGAAAAGGCTGATGTGACAAATCTACAAAAACACTTCCAAGTATTCTACATACATTGTATTCACAAACACTTCATCCGTTGATATCATCTGAAATTATATAGATTCATATATATATATATATATATATATATATATATATATATATATATATATATATATATATATATATATATATATATATATATATATATATATATATATATATATATATATATATATATATATATATATATATATATATATATATATATATATATATATATATATATATATATATATATATATATGGTACTAAATAAGCTCAAAATTAAATTCACAAGGCTTCATTATGAAGCCTAGTAACACCTGTCTCGTATAAAAGGCAACTTCACCATGACCACATTTTTCGCATGTCTTGTTGACCTGTATAGGAACATAACATTAAAACGTGTAAACACATGCTTAAAGTAAAAAATCATGACATTAAATATATATTGCAGGATGAATTACCTTAGATAGTTGCACAGTCGATTCTTCAAGTAGATCAATTCCAAGTTCTCTTCTGATATCCTCTTAGGGGTGACAAACGGGTATGTCCGCCCCGTTTAGGTCCGTCCTGCAAAAGTCCGCAAAAAAATGGACCGGGGCAAACATAGTTGAGGACGAGAGCCTAAAACCTAGGTCCGCTCTGCAAAAAAGTGAATGTGGGATGGGGAAAGCCCGCATGCACTGCACCTTTTAGGCCTAAAAATACAAAATTTTATGTTAATAATCATGCCCGCAAAAGCCCGCGAAAAAAACGAGACGGGGCGGGACGGTCACATTAGAGGGTGAGGACCTAAATTCTCGGCCTTCCCCGCACTAAAACGGGCATACCCAACTGGCCGGACCTGTTTTGCCACTCCTATATCTTGCCAACTACAAATGAGACAAAGTTCATTTGCCAATAGTCAATAATATGTGAATATGTACATGTTTAAAATCACAATGAAATTGTTTTAGAAAACATTCTGATGGATTATTTTCAGTTCTAAAGATCACCTTCATAGATTCTAAATCGACTATTCCTATAATTTTGAAAACTAAAGTAGAGATGTATTCCTTAATTTGTTATCTATAAATTTCAATAGCAATTATACATAACTTAAACTGATTACAAACATGAATGTTTTCTGAGGTGGTTGAACTTGTGAATGCGTGTTGGTTCGAAATCCGGGGCTTGATCAACACCAGCATGTTCTCTCCAAAGACTTTGTACATAACATATTTATGTTCGATCTAGTTCTGTAAACTACATAAAAGTAGTTTCAAACAAATCAAATCAATATTATTAAGTTATCTCAGAAGTTAGCCATAAATCTTAAAACAAAAAAGTTGAAAACTATAATGTTTAATTTCAGAATAATCACCGGCGGCCACCGCGATCGAACTCCGACGATGTATCCATCCCAAGTAAACCTACCAACCCTACCTAAGCAAATGTAACAACATCGTCTTCTCCTCCAACACCAACATCAGCCATAAACATTTATCTGGTAAACCCTCTCAACATTCTTCAACTGGGTAAAAAGAAAAAAAAAACAAACAAAATATAAGCATACATAAATAGACACGGGCCATACAACATAAACATAAAGCAAACGTAAACATAACTCACAGTCAAGCACACATTTTTTTACGAAACCCTAATCTTCATCGAAACTGCTACCTTCCACGCATCTCCCCCTTCCGTGTGACCCAACACAACAAAACCTGAAACAAATAAGAAGAAACATCATTGAAAAATCAAATATGAATATTTTTTATAGCAAATCATCAGTTTCAAATATCAAAACAATTGGTAAATCGATGTCGCATATTATCGCTCCACCGTGGCCTTTTGTTTCGATTAATGTTTTGATTATTTTGATTCTGAAATAGAGAAAATAAAGAAGAAAGAAGCGGAAGAGGAAGACGAACATAAAGAAGAAGAGGGAGAATACTTCAGAGAGAAAGAGAGAGAAAAAAGGACGAGAGAGAAAAAGAAGAATTTTTTGTTCTTTGAAATTTGAATTAAAGTGTATATTGAAAGAAGAGACCATAGAAAAATATCAATTAAATTAGACCAAGTGACATCATCAACTCATTCCAACATAATTATCAAAAACAAAAAATAACAACTTTGTAATTAAAATTGAACTAAGTGACATCATTAATTGAAAAAAGTATTTTTTAAACACAAAATACATTCATTTGGGTGTAGTGACCGATTAAGAGGTAAGGGAGTTCGTCTTTTCTAGAGATTAAAAAATTCTTATATAATAGATATTATCTTTGAGTTTGTCAATCTTGTCATTTTTTAAGCAAATATTAGATTAAAAGAATATTAAGAGTACTCTTTCCCAATTACGAAACTGAAAAAAAATTCGAAAAAAAAGGAAAAATTACTGGCCAAATAAAACTTATATAAAAAATACAACATGTCATTATAAAACTCGTAAAACTTAAACATGTCATTCTAACCTGTGTTTAGGGGTAATTTAACAACTAACTCAACCATCATTCATTTCTCTCTTTCTCATGTTATAGATCCACAAATTGAATTTTAATTTTCCTTTCTCTTGCCATATGAAAAAGAAAATATGCTAATCCAACGAAAAGAAGAAAAAAATTTCGTCCCGAAATCTAATCACAGAATTGACTTGTAACTAAATAAAAAAGAAAATTATACAAGAATCCTAAATTCAACATTCACATTAATTAAAAAAAGAAAAGGAAAATACAGCACCTATTAAATAAAAATAAAATAAAATAATAAAAGTACAAATAAAATCCATCTATCATAGTAAACTTCTTAGTCAAAGTCAAGTAAACCCAAGCGCAGTACACCCAACCAAAAATATCAGAAGCGCACGATAGCCTCCGTACAGCTTCAATGCGCCGGACTCAATCATCACCGGCGAGTTCCCAAGTCTAACACCTTTCTTCCCCACTTTCTCCCCCAAATCTCCAATTTCCAAATTTGCCCCTCCCCATAACTGATCCCGTTTCGTATACCACAGCAAGATCTTATACTTCACCGCCGTCACAAAATCCACCCGGAAATAAACCTTCCCGTTAACCCTCTCCGTCAAATTCCCAACGCCGTTCACCACCACCAAGCCGGGCTTCTTAGCCGTTTTCTCATGCCCCTGATAGAATCTCCCAACAGTAGCGTTACCGAGTGAGCGAGTAGTGTTGAGATCTTTGAAAAGACCGAAACGGAGCTGAACGGCGTCGTATTGGATACCTTTGTCTTTGTTGGGGTTGACGAGTTTTAGAGTGAAGAGGAAGGTGGAGTTTGAAGTGGAATTGAGGGTTTTGTTGAGGGCAGGAACGTAAATGTAGTCGAGGTAACATTTGGGTTCGTCTACTCGGATGCTTAGCCATATAAAGAGAGCGGTTAGGCCCGTGGTTATTATGAAGCCTGAGCAACATGAACAGCAGCTGTCGTGTTTCGGCGGCATCTTAAGGTGGTCGGAGGAACCTTAGGAAATACGAACCGTTTGGTTTAAGTGAGAGAGAAAGTGTGCTTGTTTTGGTTCCATGAAGCTCTAAGGGTTGGTTAGTTTTATTTATGGTTTTAGTGTGTGAACTGCGAAGTTTCCATGTTTTTCACGAATCATTTACTGGAATGTGCATTTTAATTTTTATGACTGAAATTTTAATATGATAAAAAGATTGACATGCTTGACAAAAAAAAAAAAAAAACAGTTATGCAAGCTGAACAGACATTGATGTAGCCTTTATGCCGTGTGGTCCCCACTTTTTATTTTTCAATTTTAAATTCTTCGATATTCAGGTAATTTAGGCATAAAGGGAGTGTAATTCAAAATTTAGTAGAAAGATAATTTAAGTCCGGTTAAAAGAAAAGTGTAATTTAAACTTTAGTATCTAGATAATCTAAGTGGGTTAAAAGTCAACTGGGGTAAGGAAGGTGTACATTCCGAAAAATATTTGTATTAAAGTCGAGGAATCAATTCAGATAGATATTAAAGTATAAAGTCGTTTTTAAAAGATTCGTGTCAACTATTTAATTAGGTTCAATCGAGTATAAACTCGACACAACACTATTGATTTATAATAAATCAATTTTGAGGAGGACAAGAGGCGTAATCGTGACCTAATAGTAAGATAAGCGTTACATAGTTATTATGGGGCGGTTACAAACGTTACAAAATTATTAAGGAGGCGGTTATAAATGTTACATGACGACTTTAGACCAAGGATTTTCCTATATAAAGGGTCCTTGCTGAATAGAAAAAGAGACTCACTCTCTACATCTCTCTATACGCGAGGGAGACACCATATATCATACAGAGAGATTCTCATATGAGGGATAAACCAGACATCACTCTTGGGTCAATACTTATCACTATAGTAGTACTTAAATCCCCTGACAAACCAACTCCGACAGTTTCCTCTATTCATAGCGGAAAGCCGACCGAATATTTATTCCAAATAAGAACATTGGTGCCCCATCGTAAAACTTGGTAAAACTTTCCTAGATCACACATCAAAATCACATTCATGATGACTTTCACAGATCATACCTAAACCATGACCTTGTTGCTAGGGGATTCACGTTAAAACCATGGTCTCACCACAACAACATCCACAAAGGCCATTAACGAAGGGCTTCAAACCTATTACCGTACTTTTTATCCATGGTAACAATACATAACGCGAAATAACGAGGATGGAACTCTCTTCCTTTCACTCAGTAAACAACGTGGATCTTCCCGATCTGGATTCCATTTCGGATCCCACATCTCTCCTTCCACAGAAATCTGATACTCGTGGCAACATGCCCGGCTACGCGGAGGTTACAATCGATTCCTCCGGCAAAGTTCATCAAAGTTACATCGTCGAAAGCTTGTTTTGATCAGATCGGAGGTAAGATAAAACTCAAAGGCAAATCATGTGGATGTCAAAATATCAATCGTCGTCATCGATTGTTAGTGCAAGGTGATGAAATTGAGGAAGAAAGGAGAAAAGGAATAAATGCTAAAAGCTGTGAAGAGAATTGATTGTATTAAATGTAAACCTAGTACACCTATTTATACACAAAAATAAAAAAGATAAGAATGCCACATAGGGCCTAATGAGAATATCCAACAAATGACAAATACTAAATTACCCTCTAATACCATCCCATAATTTAGTAACTATCCGAAGTTAACAACACCAATTTCATCTCTCAAGCGAAGAAATTGGTCTATTTTTATCACCTTTGCCAGAACATCTGCCAGCTGCTTTTGAGTGCTACAGTGCAGAACTTCTAACACTCCTTTCTGCACTTGACTTCTGAGAAAGTGATACTTTGTCTCAATGTACTTGCTTCTTCCATGTAGCACTGGATTCTTGGCAAGATTAATTGCAGACTTATTATCAATCATCAGCTTTAGAGGTTCATCAACTTCAACCTTCAGATCATGCAGCAGATTCAGAAGCCAAACTGCTTGACAAGCAGCTACAACACCTGCAATGTATTCAGCTTCACATGTTGACAAAGCCACAACAGGTTGTTTCTTGGAACTCCAAGAAATTGGACCTCCCAGAAACTTGAACAAGTACCCAGAAGTACTTCTTTTGTCAACTCTATCTCCACACCAATCAGAACAAGAATAACTCAGAAGTTCTGATTTGATCTTTCCTCCAGAAGGAAATAACACTCCATATTTCAGAGTTCCTTTTATATACCTCAGAATCCTGACAGCAGCTTAGTAATGAGACCACATTGGTTTGCTCATGTATCTGCTGACCATTCCAACTGCATAGCAAATATCAGGTTTAGTATTACAAAAATACCTCAAAGAACCAACCATTTGTTTGAAGTTTGTAGCATCCACATCATCTCTATCAGAATCAGTGTCCAACTTCTGATTCGTATCAGCAGGTGTGATAGCAACCTTGCAATTTGCTAGCTCAAATCTCTTCAGAAGCTCTAGTTCATACTTCTCCTGATGTAGAATGATTCCTTTCTCTGAGTATATAAATTCTATCCCTAGAAAGAAACTCATTTTTTCAAGATTTGTCATCTCAAATGCATTCATCAGAACTTTCTTGAACTCAGCTGTTTCTTGTTCAGAACTTCCTGTGAGTAATATGTCATCAACATACAAACAGACCAGAATCATATTACCTTCTGAAGTATGTTGAACATAAACACCATACTCCATCTCACACTTCTGAAACCCTTGTTCCTTGAAAAGCGAATCAATCTTCAAATTTCAAGCTCTGGGCGCTTGCTTCAATCCATACAGAGCTTTATTTAACCTGTATACCATCCCTTCCTGATTCTTTTTCACAAATCCAGGAGGTTGTGACACATAAACTTCTTCCTGTAATGGACCGTTCAGAAATGCAAACTTCACATCCAGATGTATCAAAGGCCAATTTCTGTTTGCAGCTAAAGCAACCACCAATCTGATTGTTTCGTGTCTAGCTACAGGCACAAACACCTCAAAGTAATCTAGTCCAAGTTTCTGAAGAAAACCTCTGGCCACTAGTCTCGCTTTGTGTTTTCCAATTGATCCATCTGGCTTTAGCTTCTGCTTGAAAACCCATCTGACGCTGATGGCTTTCTTGCCTTTTGGAAGTTCTGTCAGCTTCCAAGTCTTGTTTCTTTCAATGGCCTCAAGTTCTTCTTTCATGGCATTCAACCATACTTTCTTCCTGAGAGCTTCTTCAATATCCACTGATTTAGAATCTACTAGCATGGCACACTGAACGATTTCTCCTTCAGAACCTACTTCAGTATCATGCAACATGCTAAAATCTGCAAACCTACTTGGTATTCGTCTGATTCTTTGTGGCCTATGATCTTGTTCTGAAGCTTCTCCAGAACTCGGAACAATGCTAGCTTTTGGACTCTGTCCAGAATTATTTCCTTCAGAGTTACTTCTAGAAGCTTGTTCTCCAGACCCCGTGTCTTCAGAGTTTTCCTTTCCAGGAGTATAATCACCACCAGATTCTTGATCATCATCAGAATCTGGATCAGAATCAGATCCACTATCAGAATCTCCCTAAGATTCTGACTCATCTTCAGAGTCTTCATCTTCTGACTCTAACTCGTCTTCAGAACTTTCTGAAGAATCTTCAGAAACTAACCCTGGTGTTGGCGCTACACCAGAATCTGATTGAAGTTTGTTCCAATCCCATGTTTCCGACTCTTTCACAATGACGTCTCTGCTGATTTCAACTTTGTTGGTTTATAGACAATAAAGCTTATAGGCACCTGTACTGTGGTACCCCACCAGTAACATTGTTTTGCTTCTATCATCCAGTTTTCATCTTCTAGCCTCTAGAACATGTTTGTAGCATACAAAACCAAACACCTTCAGATGGCTATCACTTTGCTTGTCTCCAGTCCATTTTTCTAAAGGAACAATTTCCTTCAGCTTCTTTGTTGGACACCTATTCAGAATATATGCTGATGTGGCAACAACTTCTCCCTATAACATGTGAGGTAACTTCTTCTCTTTCAACATACTTTTGGTCATATCAAGCAAAGTTCTGTTTCTTCTTTCAGCAAGACCGTTGTGCTGAGGAGTATATGGAGCAGTAACCTCATGTTCTATTCCATTCTACTCACAGAACTTCTAGAACTCTGTAGAGTTATACTCACCTCCACCATCTGTTCTCAGAATCTTTAGCTTCTGACCACTTTGCTTCTCAGCCTTCACCTTGAACTTCTAGAACTCAGTAAACACTTCATGCTTGAACTTGATGAGTGTTACCCATGTCATTGTTGTGAACTCATCCACAAAAGACACAAAATATTTGTTTCCTCCAAGTGAAGGTACTGGAAATGGTCCACACACATCAGAATGTACTACTCTCAGCATGCTTCGCTCTTGGGCTACTTCTGATGCAAATGGAAATCTGGGTTGCTTGCCTTTCATGCATATCTCACATGACTTTTGAGGCTTCATAATCTTTGAAATGCCATGTACGAGCTTCTTGGAACTTAGATGCCCTAAGCTTCTATAGTTCAAGTGCCCCAACCTCTTGTGCCACAACTTACTGTCAGCTTCAGCGCCTTCTGCACTAAGACACTCCACTTCAGAAGTTTCTACATTCACCTTGAATGTTCTGTTGCTTCTCTGCTCAGACTTCATCATCAACTTCTGATTAGAATCATACAACGTTAAGAGGCTGTCCTTCATAACCACTGAAAAACCTTTCTCAATAAGCTGACATACACTCATCAAATTGCTTTTAATTCCAGGAACATACCAAACATCTTTGATCAGAATGTTTTTTCCATTCTTCACTCTGACTCTAACATTTCCCATACCTTCTGCATTAAGGTACTTATCATCAGCACATCTGATCTTTGTTCTCCTTCTAGAGTCAAAGTCTATCAGCCATTGTTTGTTCCCAGTCAAGTGGTTTGAGCAGCCAGTGTCCATATACCACCAATCTTCTGAACAGTTTCCATCAGAATCAAAAGCCACCAGTA